ACTAAAGGTTAATAGTAAAAAGCAGAGAGTTTAAGCACGTTGCACCTAAAACAGCTTAAAAATAAATATGAGACGAAAGCAATGTAAGGAATACATTTTTTTTAGTGTTTTTTGTTTGCTTAATATTTCTACTATTAACTAATATACTTTGCATGTGATTTAATTGTCAAAAATTAGGTTTGCCGCCTTTTTTTTTTTTTTTTTTCCATATTTGTGTATAAATGAGTTTGGCCAACTCTTTTGCTGGTGCTCATTACCCGCCTGCCCAGTTTGCTCATTTGCCTGACCATTAACCAACCGGCTCCAACTTCAGCTGCAGTTCGGACGGCCCTTCGGAGCCCTTAACCCTTTGACGCCCTTCGCTGACCTAAAAACTTTTCCCACTTGCCGGCCATTGTTGTCGTTTTTAAAAATCCGGAAAGAGTGTCAAAGGGCGCGGAGAAGGGCGGGAAATATCGGTGGAAACTACTACAATTAAGTACTGGGCGTGCGAAAACTGTACTGGCTGCACTGAAACAAAAATTGTGAAGGGAATAATTAAAAAAATTAGCTGGAATTGCGATCAGGGGAAAGGTGTGTGAACTGGCCTTATTTTCACCATTTCTTTACCCTTTGCAGAGCTCGAAACATTAGCTATATGGTATAGTATGTACCTTCCTCGCACAGCTAAAAATGAAAAGTTCATTTGGAGAAATGGATTTTCCAGTGCCCCTCACGTTCAGCTCGATTGAGGTGAGTGAGGGACCTACCAACAACCATCAAAGTTCGTTGGCGGCGACAATCAATTTACCCGACGCCAGTGAAGGGTTTGGGGTTGGGGTTGGGGTGTGTGATGGAGGATGGAGGATGGTGGATGATGGGTGGGTGGGTGCTTGCATCCATAGGCGCTGGCAAAAGGCAAAAGGTGCCCTCCCTCGCCTCCCCATCGCCTGATAAATGAGAAAAGTTTTTAAGGCCGCTCGCTCAGGTCGGCTCATTGGCATTTTTACGATGTCCCCGCGAAGGGAGAAGTGGCGAGGGAAACGCAGCGAAGGTAGAGGGAAAGCGACGAAGCCATGGACAAATAGGCAACAAATGAGACGAGCCTGGGATGCCTAATAGAAAACCGAAGCAACGGAACAAGGGTAATCAGGGAGGCAGTGGGAAATCGGTTGGAAAACGGTTGGAAAATCGGGGAAGCAGCGGAAGGCGGTGGGTGGTAGCTGGTGGCTGGTCGAGCGGGGCACTTAAAACTTTTAAGCATGCAACCGCGAACCGTTGCAGCTGCAAACTTTTTTCGACCACCAGCAAAAAAAAAAGGAACACGTCCAGAAAAATTGCGAATGCAGGGGGTCGTTGTAGAGGGGGTTCCCTGTGGGTTGTCCCTGGTCATGACAAAAGTCTGTCAGCAATTAAAAGTACAGAGCCAATATATGCTATCGGCGGAATTTTGGACACTCTGTCTATCGGAATTTAAGCATCTGAAAATAGGGAAATTTTTTATATCTTGTTTTAAATCTGAACAAGCGTTGTTGAAATTTATTTGTAAATATTAAAACATTTTGTAAACAGTTAAAAAAAAGAGAAGAGTACAGAAGTCGTAATTCAACACACCAAAAGGCGCACGATTTAAAGGGAAAATTGAATTCCAACCAAGGAAAAAACGTTAGACTTTTAACCAAGTGACAAAAAGCGTAACCCAAACTTTTTTTTGGTAAAATACTGAGAAAGCTCTTGGCACTGAGGAGCTGCGGTCTTTTGTGACGGGTTGGTTTTGTGTCTGCTAACAAATTTTAATAAATTACACTTACATTGGCCCGAGTCAGGCCGAGTGACCCATGTTGGATGGCGGTTACCCTTCGCAAATGTTTAAGTTGAACAAGTGTCGTTGCGTTCAAATATATGCACTATCTGCAGGACATACAAATGAATTCCCAAATGAACTCCCAAATGAACTCCCAAATGAACTGTACCTAAACTTTAAAGACTGTTCACCTTAATTGTGTATCGTGGCTTTAAATTCAATTCAATTAACGATTCGGAAGGCAAACCTGCCTGCAGAAAGGGGTGTGGGCTTTTAATTTCGCTCCGCAGGACTTTCCTCGATCCTGTTCGGCATGCGGACTCCTGTATCATGGTGCATTGATCTGATTTTCAATTGTTGCCGGCGGACCAAAGGCGAAGAAATGCTGCTTACATTTTGTTGCCAGCCAAAAATCGTGTGTCGGCTATAAATCAGGCTCAGACAGAAGAGACGAGAGTGAAGAAGAGGGGGGAAAGGGGGGGGGTGTTCCAGGCGGAAAAGCGACTGATTACGTGGTTCAAAATCCGGACCGGGCCAAAACGAAACTAACGATTTTACGCTACATTTGCTGCTCGACGGAAGCCAAAGGAGGTTTTCGGGAGAGACAATGTCTGACCGTGGCTATCCCAACCCAACCCATCCCCTTCGAACCCCTTTCGAACCCCTCGAAGCCCTCCGCCCATTTGTTGTTGGCCATATTACATAGTTGAGTGCATTTATTTATTTGCTTGTATGTCAACCTGTTCGCTCCTTTTCAATTTGCCGAGGGGAAATGACAAAAAACACGTAGAAGGGGGCGGGGGCGGTGAAGCAGGGTCAGAAAAACTGGCCCATTGATCCTGGCAAAGTTCTTGATTAACTTATTATGCTCATTTGATTGCTCGATTTAATTTTCCATTTCTTTTATCTCTTTCAATTTGTTCACTTCTCCCGAGCTGAAAAGTTTTGGCTTGGCTCTTTTGGAAATTGAATTTTCCTTTTGATGACTTTTTTCGCCTTCCCATTCTTCCAGTCCCTTGCTACCTAAATTCATTTTCATTTTCATTGTTGCCGAAACTTAATTTCAAAATTAATTTAATTTTTTATTCTGTTCAATTATTAATAGTCGCATGTGCAAGCTTTTATATTCATATTTTAAGCAGACACAAATTGCCTTTGCCTGCCCGTATTTTATTATTGTTCACCGTATTGTGTTCGTTTGATTTGATTTGAAAATTTCCATTTAGTTTTGAGTATTTTTTGTTTGAGAACATCTTTTGTCTCTGGATAACGTGCAATGCTAAATGTAAGCCAGTATGTATAAATACAAATATATTTATATAATTATATAAATAGTCTGCATACAAAACAAGCACAAATAAAATGTATGGATAGCACACATGCAAAATAAACAAGAGGGGTTTTGTTTTTTAAATTTGCTGTATTCTTAAGGTACTTAAAAATTAAGTAAAGACAAGAAAGGAAGTTGGCGATTCCACTTTGGAATCGGATTGAAATTGACGAAGTTATGGGTTCTGGAAGTCCAGTTTTGGATTTCAAAGTAGAATCGAGTAAATGTAACAATGAGTTCAAATATTTTGCGAAGGCACAATTACCACCACGAACTTTACGCTCACGTTTCGCTTGGCATGCGTTGTGCGATGCGTAAATCAATTGCTGATTAAGTGCGATTTTTCGTGCATAAATTAAATCAGAAATCAGGACTGTCAGCACCCACGCAAAATGTGGCTTGGCTCAATGAAAGCTGCTCCCGACCAATTTGGGCCGACTCTTCGTCATGCTCACTCACTCTCACTGTATCCAAAAATAATGCTGCTCCTTAATAGATCGCATATACAGTGAAATAGGACGCATTTTAATGATCAGCTCAAATAAGTTGAGGTTTTTATGGGTTCCCAGCTTGCCCGGTCAAACACGAGTGTAGCCATTGGCATTATCAATTGCAGAAGTGCAGAACTGACCCGACGCCCAAAGTTTGCCTCCTCATGTGGCGTGTGTTTTTTTGATTGGACCGTGCGTGATTTTCAATCGGCGGCGGCGCAACATGGCACATGGCGTTTGCTTATCAAATTAACGAATTACCCGCTTTCACAATGCCCGGTTCGTCCGGCATTTTCCGCTGCCAGCGTATGCGGTTGCAATAAATGATAATCGTGCAGGGGGGGTTCCATTAACCCCACCCCGAATCCGAACCACGGCCCTTCTGTAACCCTTGTTGCTTCCTCTTTGATGGTCGCTGCGGTTGCGTTGACCAAAAGTCGTAAATTCCGTTGTTGCCATTTGCCGCAGAAAAACAGAGGGCGGCAGACGGCAGACGGGTTTTGGATTTGGGTGGTCGCTTGTTGGGGCAGTCGGTTGGCAACAACAATGCAAACAGTGCCACAAATGCACAAAATACGGGGAGCACCGCCACCCACCGTCCACCGTCCACCGCCCAACGTTCGACATAATTAAAAGCGCGCGCCGTTTACGCAATTAATGAACTCTCGCCAAATTAGGCTGCGGCAGAGCGCAGACAAGCAAAACGGCCAGGATCCCGGGATCCCGAGCCCGGGACCGAAATGCACTGCCGGAAAAGCCCACGTACTTTCTCGCCAATTGAAGAGTTTGCAATCGTTGAATGTTTCTTTAAGGATTCAGTTTGTTTGGTAGCTTCGGACCCTATTCAAAAGTGGATAATTAATAAATGTTTTCCATTGAGCTAACCTGTATGATCAGCATCGTTTTGGAGCAGACTTAGCATGGACTTGGATTTCTGAACAGTTTTTTTCCACTTGTAGGACGCACTCACACAGAGTCACTGGGCTTGTGGTTTTTGCGGTCGAGGCGGGCGACGGCAAAATGGAGCTGCAAAAACCGCGCCGCTTTTTGCCGCATTGCAGGAGGCGAGCCTTTGTTGCACAGAATGTGGGGGAATTCGGAAGGGCCAGGGTTCCCCTTCCCTTCCACGAGATGAAGGCTTCCAGAAGGGGGCCGCATTAATGGCCTCCAGTAAAACAAGGCAATCACCTAAGCCTTGTCACCACGTCGCCTGCGAGTTTTTAAAATCACTTGCACCCCAGCCTGCTGAACACTATTTGTTGGCCAAGTTGAAACCCAAACTGCTATCACCAATAAGTACGAATGAAAATAGTTGTTTTTACCACTTGTTATTTATTTGTCTTTTTCTGTTTCCACATTGATTTTATTTGAAACTTAAATAGAGTAAACAAACAGATCACTTTGATTCCATTTAATGTTTCATTTTCTCATTTTACACTTACAATTAGGGGAAAAAAAGTATGTTATGACTAAATATTGTTGTTTTTCTGCTTATGTAGTGTTCGCTTCAAATGTACATAAGTGCTACATTTTGTGTATGAAATGAAGGAAAACAAAGTTCAAGGAAAGCAAGTTGGGAGGATAGAAACAAAACCAAGGGGATAAGTTAATAAATAGGAAAAAAAAAAAATAAAAACAGTAAATATATGTTGAAATGCCAGGCTTAACAGAACCCTTAATTTGCTTAGATTTCCTTCTTATCAGCGGGAGTTTGAGTCGCAGTCGCAATGGAATTAGTCGTAGTTGCAGTCGGCGAGAGTTTCGATCCACTCGACAGGTCCAAGTCACTGGCGCTGTTCTGTAATGAAAAGCCGGGAAATTGCCGGGAAACGGAGACCAGAAAAACATGAGTAGGGGCAAAAATAAATCTTCTGCTGGGTGCAGCCATCTCATATTGTGCTTCCAGCTAATTTTGTTTCTTGAAATCTGAGAGTCGTAAACTACTTTGAGTGCAATTGAACAGCAACGTTCCTAGTTGAGTTTCATATAAGAAAAAAGCATGCAAATGACACTAAAGCGTTACAATTTACTATATATAGTATATATATATATATATGTGAAAGCGTAAACATTCAGTCTTTGTCTATTTTACACAGTCTGAAGTTCAAGCGAGTGGCTCTTCATGGTTTTCCCTTGAAAAGGGTTTGAATTGTTTTCTTTTTTCGAGACTTTCGGCTGCCTATTCTACTCGAAGAGCCCTTTGAAGTGGTTGGGGATGTGACAGAGCTTCAGAAAGTTCCAGTCGCCGCCGCCGAGGTCGCTCACCTTCAACTCCTTGCGCAGCTTCATCGACTTGCCCATGCTCTGGAGGCGGTAGCGCTCCTTGGCCCGCTCGCGGATCTTCTCGGGCACCACCCACAACGTGGTCGCCATGTTGCCCACGAACAGCAGCAGGAAGAGGCCGGACATCACCGACACGTGCCACGGCGCGTCCGCCGGGCTGAAGGCCAGCTCGTAGAGCGTCCAGGCGTTGTACGCCTGATATCCGTACCCGATGAACAGGAACGGCAGGAGGAAGCTCAGGCCGCGCCACATCCACGAGTGGAAGCCCTCAATGGTGATGTCCATGTTGTGCCGCTCGCCGAGGGCCTTCAGTCGGTAGAGCAGGCCCTTCTGGTAGCCGAACTGCAGGTACTGGACGATGCCTGGAATTCAAGTCAAGCAGGTATGAAAGTGCTATAAGTGCTATAGGCAGATATGCGAGGGAGATCCGCCCGAACTCACTGATGTAGACGTTGAAGTACATGAACTGCATGCGGAAGATCTGCCAGTGCTCGCCCTGGGGCCAAACCAGGAGCACTCCGGCGGCCACCGTGGAGATGAAGTGGTGCGCCCTCCACCAGCCCTTGATCCTGGAGCCGTTCACCTTCAGGATGGACTCGCGGATGGTCAGCGTGCAGTAGTACCAGACCAGCAGGAATATAAAGGCCAGCTCTAGAGCCCTGCGAATGGGAATCGAGAACAGAAACGGAGGAGTGAGGAGATGCCGTGGACTCTAACGAGTGGCTGGCTGGCTTACCTGTAGTTGAATATCAAATTGAGGAAGGCCATTACAAGTCCAATTACGTTGAGTATTAATTTAAACTTTTCATAGTCGTCTTTATAGCGAACTTTGTCGTTTCTGTTCAGAATCGAGACATTCACATCGCCGAGGATTATCTGCAAAGGAACGGAGAGTGCGGAGGACGCAAGTGGATTTCAGTGGGTCAACTTAGAGTCAAGTCGAAACCAGTCGAGTTGAGTTGCAACTGGAGTCAACTGGAGTGGTGTGTGGTGTGCTGTGGAGTTGGAGTTGGAGTCCGAGGACCAAGACCAAGAGCAAGTCCAAGTCTCAAGTCCAGGAGTCCATAACAAGGCGCGCAAATTGTCGCGCAGAAAATAACTTTTTACGTTTTCACTCCACTTTCCCACTCGCCACTTTGAGGAGAGTTTACATTTTTTATGGCGGGACTTCGAAATGTGGACTAACCTGCAAGTAGCGGCCGGACTTCGCTGGCAAGGATTGCTCGATTTCGTGCAGTTGCGCCTTGCGCTTCAAGGTCATCTTTTGCAGGTCATCGACCTTCTCCTTGTCCTCCGCCGGAATGGGTCCTTTGAACCTAGAGCACACGCAAGACAAATAATACGTACAAATAAAGTAGCTGCTGTGAACTTTAAGGCTGTAAAATGAGGCAACAATCCTTTTTCCTGTTTACCGAACCTTTTCTGAAGTTTTGAACTTCATTTAACTCCTGGAGCCCACAGCAAATATGTTAAGTAATAAATAAATAATCACTTGCTTGTGATTTGGATGAACTGATGTCGACAGAAAACCAACCCGATTAGATAATTCAAATAAATCGCACCCAAATTATCGTTCTAGGTGGTTCAACCAACCTTCGACTTAACTTAAAATAAAGGTTTGGACTTTGCTCGAATTCATGTTATTGTGTCGTGTTTATTGATTGTGTAAAGATTGTAGCTTTTCCCATGGCTTTTCTGTATATTATTCGCTTACGATTATTTAATTATTGCGAAGCCACATAAATGGAAGAATAGGGAATGGACCGACCAAGTGGAAAAGCAATTTCCAGTGTCAAAGTTTAATCTTGATGCACATAATGTGGGCGGGTTGTGCGGTCAATTAACGGTCACCATAAACGCGGGTTCCATGTTCGGATGTGGCGCTTGAAAGGTGGATTTATGGCACTGGGCCGTTCATTTATCAGGCCGTCCGTCGTATAATGCTTGTTTTATTTTTAAACGCCTCTAATACCCCGTTGAAACCGATGGATAGATAACGGTTCCCGAGCCATATCGATACGGAGGTGACCAAACAAAGTGGTTCGATTATAATAGTTTCCGCTTTATACGTACATAGAGTATGTACATATAGGCTTAGAGGAACGCTCTGCCTTGCCAGTTCGGTCTACGATGATGACTTGCCAATGTTTTTCAGATTATTTTGTTTCAAGCAGAATCACCTCTTAGGAAGTCAGAAAGTCGTGACCAAAAAATTATATTTTCGTGTAAATTGACAATACATATATTACAATTAAAAAGTTCTGTAACAATATTTTAGCAAAAATCTATGAAGTCTCTTGTTTGTTCTTTTTGTTCTGCGTGTATACAAGAATCGTAAGATTCCGACACCGTAGACGGTTTTTTAGTGATAAGACCAGGGAAAATTTCCAAAGTCAAGATTTAAAAAAATTTAACAATTGTACATTTCAGCTGAATTTTTCCTACAACCAAATACAATTATATATTACTTTAAACAAACTAATACTCGTCGAATTCTAGCAAAGGAATACAAAAAAAATTTGACTTAGGAATCAGTGAAAAAAATTTGCACAACTTCATAAAAGCACGAAATACTGTAAAAAATGGTAACAGCTTCAAAGCTTTATGCACACACATCCATCTCTACAATTACAATCAGTTGCGAGATCTATATAACCAAATTGTTACAAAACGAGCTAACTCAGCGCTATTTGATCGTTAGTGTGCAAACAATATTTCAGCGAATAATGCTGGAAGTATTTTCATCGACAAACAAACCAACTCACAAGTCTCAATCAAAATTCATTCCCCAGGTTCAGGAGCAGTCTTCTGAAAATGCTAAACGGTCGAATTTTACTTAGAGAATTGCAAATTTATGTGAAAGACCGAATGCGTTTTAGAGGTCAAGGGGGTCATCAAACGCTTGCAACGTGACGCCAGACACGCGACTCTAAAAAGGGCAGTAGGAAAATAAAAGTGGGTGTGATAAGGCACTTGGGCACATAAAACCAAACAAACCAAAGGCGCCTAATAAAAGTGTCGAGAATCCGTTGTCTCATCGCCGCGCAGATTGTGTATTTGTGTACCCCACATTCGAGAGCGTTTAAAAACGCGCCAGTGCAAGCGATTTTTATTTTACTCACTGCGAAACCGCGCTCAAAACAAATAAAAAAGCAACAGGCCTTGGTCGCACAGTGGGTCAAAGTTGAGACTCCGATTTGCATGAACGCCAAAAGCACATTCGCGATAAAAATAATGTTAAGCCCGGGTTACTGTTACTTTGCTCTTAACCTGCAAAAAACTCCGGCAGGGTGTCACATTGAATGCAATTTGGGATTTTCGGGGAAAAAAATTTAAATCAGGAAAGTTGTCACACCGTGAAGTACAGAGTGGCAAAATTTTTTTCCATAAAAATAATCATTCAACATTGAAGAAGTCATAGTCCTAAACCATGTTCCCAAAAACGAAGAAGTCACTTTAACATAAACTGCCACTTAATTATTTTAAAGCTTGACCGTTTTGACGTTTTTTCCCCACTGTGCCCGTACAATTGTATTATTGTTTTCGCTGGGATTGCGTGTTGTGCAGGTGAGCTTGTCCATGGGGCTACGGCGGAGGGTCAAGGGCAGCTGGTTAGCTGGTCAGCTGGGCAGTTTTCGGTTTAATTTGCAGTCCGGCCAAATGACTTCACTCCCCCCTCTCCCGAACAGTTATTTTTATGAGGCAGCCATAAAACCAGAATCGAACCGTCATAGCCGTAGTCGTAGTGGAACATCTACCGCACACCTAACCGGCGGACGGGGACCAAAGTCTAGGCACTCCGGGCTCTGGTTTATCAGAGTTTTATCACGGCCAAGACACAAGAAAACACACAGTTGTAAAAACACTGTTTCCGAGCGACCCGACCAACTGTTGCCTGCTCCCCGATAAGAACTGATTACAGCCTGACTAATTGCCGCAAGACCTGTGTTCTCCCCACTTATCGCCGCAAGTGCTCGAGTGCTAAAATGCGTGTGTTCGCCTGATTAGACTGCTATAATTGATTGAAGTCGAATTCCAACCGACCAACACAACCCACAGAAGAGCGCCCAGCTAAAGGTCCCAAGAGGGGGTGGCTCTCCTCGAAGTGCCCCCAATTTCGAGGCTGCCAAACGATTTGTACGAAACGAAATACGAAAGATATATAATCCTAAATTGATATACAATAGTACAATAATAAATAAGGTGGTGCTGTGACTGCACTTTGATACACTGAAGAGGAAGAGTTTTTGAGTAAGGTGTGCTATCAAGCCCATTACTAAAACACACATACAAAATGTAATCTGTATAGTGTAGCAGATGTCTTCTTCATCCCGTTGCAAGCCTCACACAATTAGTAGTTAGGGTTGTTCCGAAGGAGTTTGCCCGAACCGGAGGCTCTATAACTCTAGGGGTCAATGACCCCAATACTCACTGTCGCAGGGACGCCGTTATCTGGTTCATGCGGTACCGCTGATGCTTGATCTCGTTGAAGCAGATTTGTTGGTGACTGTGCAGCTGCTCCAGGAGCTCGATGTACCGCCTGTTGCAGCTCTGGTCATCGGTGAAAAGAAAAAAGGGTATACAAATGATAAGTTAAGCCACACCAAGTAGGGTTAAAAAAGGGGGGAAAAGTTAAATCCAGCTTCTGCAAAATGTTAAACACCCCTAAGGTGATGTTTCTATGCCAGAGTGTAAACCAAACATATATACAAATCATTGAGTACATTTTCAAATGACGAATGGAAACTTCCTATAACTGATATCAGGTATCATGGTTTATGTGAACCAAAGCCTGTAAGCATTTTCATTGTATCTTGTTTTTTACACGTAAAAAGACCTGTTGATTTTATATTAATATTTAAATGATTATTGGCAAGACTTTCAGTGTAATTTAAATGTATTTTTCTTGGTTTCATGAAATTTTTCCTACAAATATTTTGTGTCTAATAATCATTTATAAAAAAAACATGAATGATGTTGGAATTGGGCAAGAGTATAAAAAAGCAGCTGTGTTTCAAGGTGAAAACAACGCTGACCGGCGTGGTTGAGTGTGTGTGTAAATTGATTGTATGTATTCTTTGGGGTGTACTGCTCTATTTCGGTTTCGACTATATGAATATATTTACCTCAAGCTCGGAGTACTCCTTGTTGAGCTCCTCCCACTCGTTTTTTAGCGAATCGATATTCATGTTTACTGTTACTTAGCTCTTACGCGGCTTTAATCGCCGATTTACCGTTTAAGCTTGCTTATATACTGTGTTTTGCTTTTGTTTTTGTTTCGTTAATTCCAATTATTGTTGTTGTTGTATGCAACAGCTGGCGAAAAAGAGGAAGAAGTTGGTGTTTGAGGTTAGAAAACAAACCGGTGAAAAATCAATTAAATATTTTTATGCAATTTTTCAACAAACAAACACGCACTCGCACTCACACACACACGTTGCCACGTTCGAAAAGCGAAAAACCTAGAGCAGCAACAACAATTTGACTTTGCAATAGAAAAACTAACAATAAAAAAAAACAACAAAACAACGCGGCGTTCTCTTTTTCGGTTAAATTCTTTAAATATAAATTCGTTTTCGCGGAGAGCACGAAGAATACAGCACCGCGAACGACGACTAATATTTTGTTATTAACTATTTCCGCAGCACTTTTGTTTTAAATACTTCGGCCAAACATACAAAATACAACACAAAAAGTCCAAAACAACAAAAACACAACACAGACACGCGAAATGAGAGAGCCAGAGAGCGGCGGCAAAAGAGAGAAGCAGAGAACGCGAACTAGTTCCAAAAAATCACACAGATGCTCAACAATAATATGAGCTATATACAATAATAAAACTTAAAAATTATTAACAATAAAACGAATATTAAGGAAAATAATGTTTAAAGTTTAACCTGCCAACAATTATTATAACTTAATTGCAATAAAACCGATTGAAGAATTATGAAATGGCAAAAAAGTTGTTAATCGCAGTTGAAAAATTACATGAAATTCCTAGGATAATAATATTAATAATATTGCTGTACTTACCTGTTGCACACATATATCCTACTTAATTACCTTATAAATCAACGGATAGATTTACTCGGAACTATTACAGCGAACCGAATAGTGCGGAACCGGTCCTCAAACGAAAAAAAGACACAAAACTGTGGTGGGGAGAGAGTATGTCAACGAAACGTGGTGTGGTGAAGGTGAACGGCTCTTCGTGGTGGGTGTATGGTCGCGGTAAACTTCGACACTATGGTGTACGAATAAGGGCGCGCGATTTGAATTGTTTGTAGTTTTTGAGAGTGTACGAAACATGTTCCGGTGTTCGGTGTAAAATCTATTTTTATTTGAAAAAGTTTGGAAGTGATGTACGTTAAAGTAAATCCTTTGGTTTTTTAGTTATTTTTTTTTTATGTATACTTCATCTGTAGGCGCAGATGCGCAACGACAAAATGTTATAATCAAAGGCTAGCCACTCAAACCATTTTGAAAAAAATATGAAAAACCGCATAGATTTTTCATAAGTCATACCTTTTTATTGCTGATAGAAATAGTATTACAATGGCTTTTGCGGAGGGGCAACAAAAAACGCTATAGTAATTCTGGTAAAAAAAAAAAACATTAACTAGGGAATTGACACACTACTCCTTGCGCCGCGCCCGAAGTCGTAGAGCCAGGTAAGCAAACACCCGGAATCCCACGATGAGAATAGTCAGGCCGACATAGTCCAGAGGCAAATCGGCTGCGGAGAAGTTGAGGGTCTCCAGGATAACCTTGCCCGAACTGGGGCACGTGGTGTTCGACGAGGTGCAGCTGATCTCGCCCGGCTCCACGTCCGCCCACTGGTTGATGAGCAGTCCCTCGTTGGCGTACCGGAACCACGAGAGGTAGGACAGCCACTTGAGGTACACCGGCACGGAGCCCGAGTTCAAGAAGAAGCCCCCGAACAGCAGGAAGGGTATGATGACCGGCGGACCCACGGACAGGGCCATTGAGGTCGAGGAGCTGGCGCAGGAGATCAGGTAGCCGAAGGAGGTGGACACGTTGGCCACCAGCGTCACCAGCGCCAGGCAGTTGAAGAAGTGCAGCACTCCGGCCCGGAGGCCGATCATCGGATAGGCTATCGCCGTGAAGACCAGCGGAACGGTGAGGAAGAGCGGCAGTTCGGCAATCGTCTTGCCCAGGAAGTAGGTGTCGCACCGGTAGAGTCGACTCCGGGCTTCCCTCATAAAGACTGGCAGCTCCGAGGTGAACACCTGGAGCGAGGGATCAAATGCCGTACACAGCCATTCAATTCAATTCAATTCAATTCAGTAATGCCTATTGATTGTGCTGGAACACGGTAAAACTCACATTAATCGTGGCAAAGACGTTCTGGAAGGTCATGTTTGTCAGAAAGAGAAAGATCGCTCCGTTGATATTCATCACGCCCACTTGCGTAAGTTGTTGGCCCAAGAAGATGAGGCCAATTAAGATGGCCACCATCTGAAATCGCATCGATACTCATTGCTCATTAGTTCCAGTTTGTGAATTTGTGACTGTGTTGTGCTTGTGTTTTATTCGGTTTAAAGACACTAACTAGTGCCTCCTGCAACCACTCACCGTTGTCTGGATGAGCCGCACCTTCACGAGGAGCGGCTCCTTGAGCACCGATAGCCAGGACCGCCAGAGGACCGCCCGGAACTGCATGAACCAGGTGGCCTTGTAGGTGTACCCGTTCTCCGGCTGCTCCAGCGGCTTCTCCGTGTTCTTGGTGGCCAGCAGCTGCTCCATGTCCCTGGCCACCTTGCTGATCGCGAAGTTGTCGCAGATCTTGGCTATGCGGTCCCGGGACTCGATCTCCCTCCCGGGCACCACAGCCAGGACCTGCACGTAGAAGTCCGCCGGGTTGTAGTTCGTCGGACACTGGGCCCCCACGCTGGAAATTTGGGAGATTTGGAAGAAAACAGGGGGGTTCATTGGGGAGCTGCGACCGATGGGCTCTACTCACTAGGAGAAGAAGTCAACGGCCTCGCTGGGAGTGCCCAGGAATGCCACCCGGCCCTCGGCCATCAGCAGGATCTTGTCGAAGAGCTCGAACAGCTCCGAGGACGGCTGGTGGATGGTCAGGATGACGGTCTTGCCCTTCTGCGAGAGCTTCTTCAGCACCTGGACGACGCTGTGGGCGGTGAAGGAGTCCAGTCCGGAGGTGGGCTCGTCGCAGATCAGGAGCGGGGGTCGGTCAACGCCTCCGAGGCGAAGGCCAGGCGCTTCCGCTCCCCGCCGGAGAGACCCTTCACCCGGCCGGGCACCCCGATTATCGTGTGCTGGCACTTGCTGAGCGACAGCTCCTGGATGACCTGGTCCACGCGGGCCACCCGCTGCCGGTAGGTGAGGTGTCGCGGCATCCGCACCATCGCCTGGAATATCAGGTGCTCCCGGGCCGTCAGCGAGCCGATGAAGAGGTCGTCCTGCTGGACGTACGCGCACCTCGCCTGCATCTCCTTGGCGTCCACCGGCTGCCCGTTGAGGAGCCGCATCCCCGACGGCGACACCTGGATGCCCTGCGGCGAGCGGAAGGCCAGCGCGTTCAGCAGGGTCGTCTTTCCGGCCCCGGAGCTGCCCATCACGGCCAGGAGCTCCCCCGGGTAAGCCACTCCGCAAACTGGCATTTGTTGTATTCAGAAAAAGAGGGAATTACTTTCACAAAGGGAACGTATACATCTAGAGGTATTTTATAATGAGGTATAAGGCCTCATTGAGTGGTTTGGGATGTAAGGGCATCCCAACGGTAAGCTCACCGTTCTTCAGGAGGTGTTTCCTGGGCGCGGGGATGTGTCGCTCGTTGCAGAAGAGCCCGCGGGTCCGGTTGACCAGCTGCCGCCATCCGGAGCCCGGCTGGTTGACCGCCCCGAAGATGTCCAGGTTGTGCCACGCGTAGGTGAGGTTCTCCGCCAGCTGGCCGCTCGCCGAGCCGCCGTTGTCCGGCGGACTGGGTGGGCGCAGGGTGCCGTAGTTCTTGGTCGACCCGTAGCCCTGGCCCACGCAGCTCTGCGCAGCCGCCCCGCCGTCCCCCTGCCAAGTAGAAAAGTGAAATGGGTTGGGAGATTCAGTTGGGCACTCAGTTAAAACCAGAACCTGCGAACCTGTGTATCTCCCCTCGAAAATTGGTGCGAATGTTATCGTTAATAGTTGTGTGATACATTTATATTGAAATGAAGTGATACCCTTCCCACACCTTATCATTACCCTTTCGTTTTCCTCCACGATAAACATTATGGGAATAATTTTTTCGAGTGCATCTCGAAGCGGTTGCGAAGTGGGACTTTTCAATTTCGCTGCGTTCGTCCATAAAAGTGGGGGCGTCTGTGCATAAATCTTGGCTAGCCTTTCTAATCTCCTCTCCCGCCTTCCCTGCTCCGAATCCGCCCCACAATCCACACCCCACTTCACCGAGGGGCGCCCATCTGTTTAATAAAAAGGTCCAAATCCCGAGTTTCCCGATTTTGCCGAGCTTCCTGGCAGAACGAGTCCTATTTAAAATGTGCAAATTAGGGCAGGCCATAAGCCGCATTTGGCTGACGGCCTTGAAAGGGAGCGGTGGGTGGTGGTTGGTGGATGGTGGGTGGTCGTCGCAGGGATCCGCCATGTTACCACTTCATAATACAATTGCGACTGTAAGTCGCCGGCATCTTTGGCTGTCGTTGTCGTTCGAGGACATTGAGCTCCGCGTCAGCTTTGCTTATAAGTAAAGTATAAAACTTTAGGGAAATTTGACCGTAAAATGGGGTCTTTGGCTTCAGGATATGGACTCGGAGTCTTTATAGATGAGTGGAACGAGCAGTTAGACTTTCGCACGATGAATGCTTCTTAAATTTCTCAAGTTGGAAGGGAATTGAATCCATTTACCCGATTTACGAACTTATGAAGGGGATTTTCCAAACGAGGCCTTTCCAATGAATAATTGCCTAATCATTCAGCATTTATGGCGTTTTTTTCGGAATACAACTCAAAGGAGAACGTTCGTAAAAATACTTTTAAAGGCAAGAAAAGGGATTCTGTTGAATTCTTTTTCCTCTGTTTTCTAAATACATATGTTTTGGAGAAGTTGGGGGCCAAAGTGATTGCCGAACCCACGGAACTGTCAGTTTTCGCTTAGGTGGGGCTTCCCTTTCGAAAAGCGGTAACCAAAGACGATTGCGGTATGGTCAAATCGACCCTCTCTCCCTCTCTCCCTTTCCGCCAGCACACCTCCCCCACTTCCTCCCCCTCGCCCCCCGCATATTTTCATAAACAATTTTCTGTTTTCCATTTGTGAGGTTTCTTACCATCGCGTCGGCCTGCGGCAAAGCATAAATAACAGGGATCCGCTAATTGGCGTCCAGGCAAAAAAGAAAAACAACGCAAACGATGCCCACAATGTGAAAAACATTTTATCCACCGCTGCTCTCATAATAATTTGTATAAATATTCATAAAAAAGATATGCAAAAAAAATCGGGAAAATGAGGAAGGCAAAATTTGAGGAATAGGGGGCAAATGAAAGCTGACATCCAATAAAAGTTAGACGAAATTCCAAGAACTTAGCGCCTGGCGTTCTTTCAAAATATGCTTCGTATTTCACCTGAACAATATTACAAATTTCTTATTTAGGCAAAGTATAAGTTTTTTATTTTAAACTTCTAAATGAGCTGAATACAACTTGTGTATAACAGCAAATAAAAAACATTTTTATTCATATATCTATCTAACAAAAGTATATTTGATCTAAATATGTTACAGATTTACGTTTTACTACTAAATTTCAAAAATCTCATCTGCTCTCTGTAATTAATTTCGATTTGAAGGCTCGTGAGTCTTTACTGCCTTCTGTCTTCTGCTGCGTTGCTTTTCCAGCTTGTTTTTCTAGGCACTCCGTGTCCGTGTCCAGTTTTTGGGCTGAATTTAGCCAGGAAAAAGTTGGCGACGTCGCGAGAGGTAGACGTAAAAAAATGTAATATCCGCTCGAGACCCCTTGAGCCGAGCGAGAAGGAGCGAAGGAGAGGGAGGGGAAGGGGGAGGGGGAGGGGGAGGAAGTCTCAGTCTCAGTCTCAGACCTGGCAAAATTGTTTTCACAACAAATGAGGCTGAAAAATGTTATTAAAAAGTTTTCCTTTTCTTTCTCCTTCTGCCGTCCCTCTCCCCGTCCCTTTCTATCTCTCTGTCATGGTTTATTTCGCAGGTTTTTGGGAATAAGCAACGAAAGATGCTACATTTCATATTTATTTAATTTTTTGCTTACTTTTTACTTGCCGTGCTATTTTTGAATTACTTACGAAATAAGAGGGCAATTCGAGGAGGTGGCTGGGCAATAAAGGGCCTCCCCCGCTCGCCAGATGGCGCTCTTCTTCTGCTGCGAGAGAGGAAGAGGAAGAGCCTCTTTTTTGATGAACTTGACAAATTGAAACGACTGAATGAAGAAGCGACTCAATTTGCTGAGTTCCCCGTTTCGTCGAGTGTGCCAGTGGCTAATGAGTGCACTCGAGAGCCATTCACTTTGATGCGAACACACCGCCGACGACGGAGGGCCAATTATTTAGCGCAAGGTTCGATCAAGTTGCGGGAAGAAACAATTCAGCTTCATAAAAATATCTTTATAATAGATGCAAATCAATAGTACCTACAATTACATAATACGAAAAATGGGACGAAAACAGTGTTAATTGAAATGAAATATTTTCCGTGGAACATTCGGTTTACCTTAAAGAGGGGGAGTGCATCCCCTATCAGCTGTTCAACTTCTCAGACTGCTCAAACTTGCTAAAGTTGTTTAAGAGCCTTGGAGAAAGATACAGCCAACCCAGGTATTTGTTTGTTATACAAACCGAGGTGCCAAGCGGCAAGATACACATAAATATGGCGGGTATCAGATGCTAAGCCCGAGGTATTCGTCTAGTCAAATAATGACCCAGATAAGACTAGATTGTACAGTATCAGAGAACGAGGTCTCTAGATTGCGTAGGAGATGCAGATACAGAAACAGGCATGGACCCAGAATAAGATACAAGATGTCTCCGAAAGCAACAGATACACACCACGTAAAGCCAACAATCCAAGAGCCCTCCATTGGACATGCATCAATAAACGAGACCCACTAAAACAACTTCCACTTTTTGCGGCAGATTAAATTACACCCGGGCCTAAAATGCCAGTGTTTCCCAAAGCCATTTTCCAAATGTGCGTTAAAGTGCGTTGTTACCCCTTTCACCAGCCTCTTTTTGTGCATCGCATCCAGCTCTAAGCTCTAGGCACTAAATACTAAATATTTTAGGTTTTTTATTTTATTTTCTTGCGCAATTGCGGTTAGGCTTTTCTGGGCCGCCGTTCTCACGCCGCAGAAGGCAGCTTTTCGGATGTTGCAATCGCAGTTCCTATGTCAACATTGTGTACTCACATTGCTCAGATGCTCGGCGGACGGATGCTTGCTGCCCCCGCGAATCAACAGCTCCTGATCCTCTTGGCCCATTGCCGGGTTTTCCTGGTTTTCCTGCTTTTCACCACCACCCAAAACAGGCACGTAAAAAAATATCCCGTGTGCTAATTGATGGAGTAATGCGCTCGAAGCCTCGTCACGAAACCGCTGACAAAATGCAACTGAAGGCGGACATTGACGCTGGTTACTGCGACAACAGAGGCGAAAGAGACAGAAGACCCCGGGGCGAAAGAGACGGGAATATGCCGGGGGATAAGGGACGGGGCGACTCTGTTGACTCTGAGTGGAATGATGTTTTGAGTGAGAGATAATCGGAGGTTTCCTGCGGAATGGCACTCCGAATACCCCTCGATTTTGTAGAAAACGGCGGGTAGTCACCTCTGCTCCGGCTTAAACAACATAATTGTCACCAGGTTAACTTTTATCTTACGCCTTATTTCGGCCACAGTTTGTGTTGGAAATCGTGAATATAATACCAAGAGAACCCCGAGACGATGAGTTTTCTACCCCAACTGAGGAGTTCCCGAAGTGCTGCTTAGGAAATGCTGATTAGAAAGCGTCTTTTTATCGTGAATAACGTAAAAGAGCTCTTTAATCCGCCTGCTGTCGTCCCCTTTCGGCGGTTTGCACTGTACATTGCGTGCATGATTTATCAAACGCCTGGCGACAGTTGACGATGCGAACTCAGGCCAGAACTCAGGTTGAGGTTCCCCTGCCGCCAATCTCCGGACTTTGCCGTCATCGTTAGCACCTCATCTCGGGTCGCGAACCCACGGACGGACGCTGGCTGTCCGGACATTATCAATCTTCATCATCGGCCGGTTGGCTCGGCACACGGAGTCCGGACTACGGATTCCGCACGGGGACGGGCAATCCGGCGGGCTGTCGATATTGTACGTATTTTCACGGACTTTGGGGTAACAGGTTTGCAACTGCCAGTCGCCGAGATTCCGGGGATCCAGTTTCATAGCCATTAGACCATTGGGAGTGTTTCGAATTAGTTTCGAATATTAGTTTCAAACAATTCCTAAACATTGTACATTGTTTCAATGATCTCTCTTATTGTATTTATTTGTTGTATTTTACTGAAGATCTTTCACTGAAACAAAGTTCTCGCTCTGTGCGAGAAGTGAGGTATTCTCATTGTCTGGCGATCGACGACCAGACAACAAAGAAGCCACTCATTATCAATTTCTGTACTGGCGCAAACTGAGAGAAAACTCAATGCACTTCTGGGGCTTCCCTCGATATTGTTTGAGTGGAGCTTAAAGCTGGTTTTTCCCGACCTGAACTGCAAAAGAACTGCAAAAGAAGTGCTGGAAACCGATCTTTAAATGCTCTTTCAACATCCTTGTGACTTTAAAAAACATTGCCTGGATATTGGATTGTACAGAACAGGGTTGGCCTTAATCGTTTTCGGTATGTGCAAAGACTCCTGGGACATCTCCAAAAGTCCTTAAGCATAGCTATGCTTAAGTAACTTTGGGAACAAGGACTGAGTACTACAATTTAATAATTTAATATACTGCTTAAGGCATGACTCCTCCTTTACCACACATTCCCAGCAAAAGAAGGAAAAAAGTAACCCGTGAAGCGTAAAAGTTTTTTCAAACACGCTTTCAAACTCTCTCCCGCGCTTTCACATAGGTAAATCGCCGGCTATTGACACAGGAAGCGGGGAGGAATGGGTAGAGGGGATGGAGTCTCCGAGTAGATTGACTTTGCCTCGGATTTTCTTGCCTCTGTACGCTTAACCCATGCAAATTATTGACGCGGACAGCGGGCTCAATAAATCTGTGGGGGTGAGTGAAGAAACTTTTGCTAATCAGACAGCTTTCTAGTTCATTGCTTTGGGCCGCCTTTTCTCCAGCCAATGCCACCCACCACCCACAACCCTTCACATCCCTCCTCCCTCCTCCCAGGCGCTCAGTTGGCTGTAATTGCAAAGTAAATCAACGCTGCCATTTGCCATGCCCGAAAAGTGTGCTCCATGGAAAAATGGGCGAAAGCAGGAGGAGGAGGAGCACTTTTCAGGGGACAAAAGGGGCGAAAGGGGTTTCCGGGGGCCAAGGTTTCCAGGAGTGTTCTGCAGCGTCGAGGATAATGTAAGAGGGCTGGTGCCAAAGTTTGGGCAACTTTCAAAGAGAGGAATGTGTTATGGGTTCGGGTCACATAGTTAGTTAGTCCCACAACTTCAAACCGAATGACGGCGAAGCCATGGAGTTAAATGTTTGTCAGCTATCGAGGCGGAGATTTATGGGGGAGCGAAAAGAGAGATGTAAGGGAAAAGTTTCCAAGATCTTGCCAGGTTTCAGTGGATTTAAATTAGCAGAGATCTAAAAAGTTGCAACGATTCCAATTTGTTCAGAAATAAATGTTTCGGTCAAGCAACCACTTTCCCACACAAATGCTTGTTTTGACCATTCATTTACAGAGCGTTTCTTCTCCTTTAATTGATGTCACCCATGACGTAACACATGACATCACAGAATGTAACTGCAAAGCATGTGTATGCGCTTTTATTTACTTAAATTCGCTCTTACTTATTTAATAAAGGAATATTACGAGAAATAGAAACTTTATTAAGAAAAGAAGTGTGATGGTTCAAATAACCCCTTTTAACCCTCTTTTCCATTCATGGGCAAATAAAGTGCCATGAGCTGCTCAGTCCAGTTTTCCCTTCCTTATTTTATTTCGCTTCCATTTCGTTTTTATGTGTCATCAATTCGAGTTTCTCTTGCAAACGGTCGATGAATTTGTTTATGCAAAGGACCGACCGAGTTCCCTGCCGAAACCAATTTTGACTTCATGGCAATCACTCCAATCTTCGCCTAGTTGGTCGCCATGCAATAAATGCAAAAGACAGTCGGGCCAGTACATAGATATATATAATATATAGATGAATTCCCTTCCCTGTTGAGTGGGTGTATTTAAATTAAGGGAGAGTTTGTAAAACACCAGAAACCAACACCCCAAGCAATTTATTAAAAAAGATAATTTGAAATAAAAAAATGACAGTTTTAATTTTAAACAATATTCTATAGTTAAGAATATCTCTTTTTTCTCAAACCTGTGAGTGCAAAGCATTTGGAAATCGCGAAACGTTCGTTCTCGCATCTTGTTTTTGATTTTTCTGCCGTTTTCTATTAGAGGACATCAAGCAAATGCTCGACAGTGCGATAAGGCAGTGTCAGTTCGCTGGATACCAGAGGGGCGGGGAGGCTATGTCAATGGAAAGTTGTTGGGTGGGAGGGGGTTAAGGGGAGGCCTTATAGGGGAGGCCTATGGCGAGCGGAAGTCGCCGTTCGCTTACAGCACGCGCGCGTCTCATAAAAACGTATCAAAACATCCGCTGGGAGTCATAAAAATTTTCACTCCGACTTCGCTTTCCGTCGCCTTTTCGCCTTTTCGCCTTTCCGCCTTCCATCCAGGCCCACATTTTCCGCCTGCTGGTTTTTCCTGCGATGCAGTTGCCTTCTCCGCCTTCAAGTGGGACTACCCGGCGTATGTGTAATCTAATAAAATTTTCTGTTTATGTGGCAACAGGCTCTGCTGTTTCTGCTGTTTCTGTGTCTAGCTAGTTAGCTTCCTCCAAGTGGCTTTCCCGCTTTCCACTTTTCCCCTTCGTTTTTTTTTTTTTTTTCATTCTCATCTGTGCAACAGTTGCGCTGCTTTATGGCACATTGGTTGAGGAGTCAGGAATGCGAGTTTACTGCCAGTTGTTCGTCGCAATGGATGTGAAGGCAAAGAAAACTTAACCCCCTGTTAATTGGCTTTTCCAGCATTATCATATGTTTTCCGTTCTCAGCTTTACCCCAAAGGTTACTTGAAAACTAAGCAAATCAATGAATATAAAGAGCCATCGTTTTACTACTTTTTAATTGCAGTTATCTAAATCAGATTATAAAAGCAGTTATGTTAATAAGTGGGTTGTTAGGCATTTGTATTAAGTTTTCGAATGCTCATTTTAAAGCAACTTAAACATCGCTCCACTTATGTTAAACCGATTTTCTGTTAAGCGGGTTGGGCTTAAAATGTTATTATCGCGCAGCAGGCACACAGCGAAAAAATCGTTATGAAATCGGGGCATATAAATAAATTCATAAATATGCATATTTGTCAATGGTTTGCGTTTATCGCGAAATTATTTCCAGACCATGTTTATAGGCGAATATTTAATGGCTGGCCAAATCCCGCAAAATGGTGATAAAGCTGCCTCTAGGATATTATGTTGTTATGTTGTTGGCATTGCTTTTACACAAAGTGAAAATACGAAGTCGGAAGAAAAAATAAATGTCATAAATGTCGGCTTATTGCAAACAGCAAAGGAAAATAAAGCACAATACTCGCATATTTGAAGAACTTAGTTATTGTATAATCGAATAATTTGTTTTCAAATTGTTCCACACTTTTACGACAAATCGAAACGCAGCGTCTGTAAAAACCAACAGCAGCCAGTGACGTTTTCCGCCTGTTGCAATTTAATTATATTAAAAATGCATATAATTTATCAAAATGCGAAGGAAAGCAGGCGGTCGGGAAAAGGAGGAGGTGGAGGTCGGGGCGGAGTATGTGGCACATGTCACAAGACACGGGCTTTGTCTTTCTGTCTGTGACAACACATAGCGAAATAATTAAATTGCATTAAAAGAACGGAGGATACATGGCGGAAAACATAAACACTCGGCGGAGTGGGCAAATATGCATATGAAAGGAGTTTAAGGACAATGAAAATGTGTAGCTAATTAGCAAACTGACAGCACAAAGAGGCGAAAAGCGTATCTATATATAGGAGAGAAATTAAAATGAAAAGCTCAAGGGGAAATAGGGATAACGCACACGCACCGTTAGACAGGCCAATGAATTATGCAAAAATGTATGGTAAAAATGGCATGGGATCCTTTTGTTGCCACATTTAATTTTTACTCTCACTTCCCTTTCCTTCCCTTCTTCCTTGGCTTTCTTTTTGCCCCGTGTTTTTTTGCGACACAACATTTGACATTTTGTTGGACTTAAAAAATGTACAAAGGCGGCAAAGCCCCTCACTAATATGCCATCTAATTTGTTATTCATGTGATTTAAGCGCGTCAAAGAAGATTAATGGCTGAAAAGGCGGCAGGAGGCAGGCTGAACCGAACTGAAAA